CTCCGGGCTCTTGCCCAGTGCCTGCTGCCCAGGATCACGGTGCCCTTCGTAATCTCTGTGGCAAAGTCTGTGGTCCTTCTGCTTTCCTCTCCTTCCTGAAGCCTTTTGTGTTCTGGGTGGAGCCTGGCTCCTGTGGCTGGGTATAGGGCCACCAGTGCTGGTGTAACAGCCTTGTTGGGACAGTTCTCATGGCCTGATCGTTGTTGCAGGGCCCTGGTAGCTGTGGCCATTGCATGGGGATACTGTCAGTACGGGCTGAGGGATATCCCTGAGGACCGCTGGCTGTCTTCCACCAAGGTCTGTGCTCACGTTAAGTATCCTGCTCAGATGTCGTGCTCAGAGAACCTGGATACCCTGGTAGGTGAGGACCTGCTTGACTTCCTCTTGAAGGATGATGCTCCCTGCCCTGAAATCCCAGTGCAGGAGAACAGTCTGCTGGAAGACTGGGACCTGCCTGAGCCTGAGGTGGGTTCTTTGAGAGAAATTGCTGCTGGGTTGTAGTTCAGGAGGTCTGGCTCCCTGCTGAATAAAAGGGTTTTTTTTCCACAGTTCTTGGACAAGGAGATGGATGACTTAATCAGCTCCCTGTTGAGCCCCTTTGAAGAAGAAGCAGGCACTCTGCAAGGTTATTCACCCACTGACAGTGACAGTAGCGTTTCTGAGGATCGGAATCTGTCGCAAAGCCCTGTCAGTGACTTTTCCAGCAGCCCTCAGAGCTCAGACATTGTGCAGGTTGATCACAACTACTCGCTCCATCAGGATTGGCCTGTGCTTGAAAGCGTGAGGTCTGAAATGGCAGAAGATGTTTCCATTGACCTTGGTAGGTGAAGTGTGTGGGGTCTTTCTGTCCTGGCTACAGGGAGAAAAGCAGTCTCACACTGGGGTTTTTGGTTGGGTGCCAGGCAGCAATGGAGCGAGCTGAGTTTTGTGACTTTCTGCTGCCATAAAATTGTGGTTTCATGCTACTCAAAACTGGCTGGTCAGGTGCTGCCTTGCTGAGGCCTGGAACTGGACTCTCCTTTCCTTCTTCAGGGATATGGATGGGTTTGGAAAGCACAAGCGAAGCGCTGGAACAGAGCTTCAGTTTCCCCATTGCCGTTGCTGTGGATGACGGACCCCAGCTTGTGCCTGTACAAGGAGACGCCGTACAGGTACTGACTGCCATGCCCCAGCCTTTGCTTCTGCTCGCATCTCCCCTTCTCTCCTGGCTTGGCTCCTGTGAGGGATATTTAAGAGGAAAGCATGACGCTGCTCTGGGGGAGCTGATCCTGGTTCTGTAGGCTTTCTGCACACCCTCTCTGCCCTGGGGTCGACTCCCTTTACTTTGCTTTCTCAGTGGGTGTATTTTTGCTGCTTTCTAGTCTGACTTCCCAGAGCTGGTTCTTACAGAGGAAGAGAGGCAGCTCCTGGAGAAAGAAGGTGTTTCATTACCTGCCTGCCTGCCACTAACCAAAGTGAGTCCTCACTATAACTTTGTCACTTCCAAGCAGACCAGTCAAGGCCTTCAGCCAGAGTAGGATTTGAAAATGCAAGATGGTGCCTTGGTGAGAGCACTGGTGCCCAGGTTCTATGTTCAGGGCAGCGTGCAGCAGAGCTTGGTGTCGTCGTCCCTTTGAGGCCCAGAGCATGTCCACAAGCACAGCAGCCTTTGCTAGTCAGGTAGCAGCAAAGACGTGGCTGTCACCAGTCTCCCCACTTGCGACTGCTTGCAGCAGTCAGTTACACCACAAGTGCCTTTTTGTTTCCACTTGCCTCATGTATTGTGAGCTGCATGCTTTTGATCTCCCTTAGGTGTGCCTTGTTCTTATGCCACACTAGGGAAGCTGTTGGCCTCATCAGCAGGCCTAAGTTTGCCTTGCAGCTCATGCAGTTCATTCAGTGGTGTGGGAGGGACTGAAGACAAAAGCATATGTGGGTTGCTGCTTTCCTAAGCAGGGCTGAGCGCTGAGATACATGCAGGATTTTTGAGGGCAGGATTGCCAATGCCCTGGGGTGGATGCTAATAAGAAATGTCCCTTGCAGGCTGAAGAGCGGCTTCTGAAAAAAGTACGTCGGAAGATCCGGAACAAGCAGTCAGCCCAGGATAGTCGCCGCAGGAAGAAGATGTATGTGGATGGCCTGGAAAACAGGTATGGGCACACAGCAGCTGTGCTGTGCCACTGCTGGGGTCTTGCCGCCCTGGGCAGAAGGTGGGGCTGACCCCTGTGGTCTTCTCAGGAGGCTCAGAAACTTAGGGCATAGCCTGCCCTGCTCTCTTAGGCTTGGAGATGTCTTAGAGCTTGCTCTGTTTGGGCCAGGTACTGGCCTGCCAGGGCCAGCATGTTCTCCAGGCTGGGATAGTTTGTAATACAAGCTTGGTGCTCCTGATCTGCAGGGTTGGTGTGCTGCTAGGAGTGAGCATCCTTAGGGATTTATCTGGTTCTTTGGAGGACTGGGCAGGGCTTACCTTCCCCAAACCTGATGTGAGATGTCAGTCTCATCAGGTAGACTCCAGGAGCACTTGTAACTGCTGCAGCCACCCAGGGTTGGTGGCTGATTCCCTGAGGGAGGGACTGGTAAAGTCCTTGCTGTTGACTTAACGAAACCTCTCTGTTTTTGCCTTGTGTTGTTCATCTTTCCTGAGAAGGGTGGCAGTCTGCACAGCTCAGAACCACGAGCTGCAGAAGAAGGTGCAACTGCTGCAGAAGCAGAACATGTGAGTTCTTGCTAGACGTGGCAGGAGATGTGCTGGGAAGGCTGTTCTTCTTCTTGGGACTGTGGTCCCTCTTTGGCTGCAAAGGGGGAGGAGAGGAGTGTGCAGCTCTTGATTCAGCTGCTGCATTAACCTGCATTGCCTGCTCTCCTGCAGGTCGCTGCTTGAGCAGCTGAGGAAACTTCAGGCCTTGGTGAAACAGTCCACCACCAAAACCACCACTGCAAGCACCTGCATCATGGTGAGTGTCCTCAGCCCCAGTGTCTGTGAAGAGGTCTCTGCTCTCCTTGTAAGTCTGGGAGAGAGGCGTTTGTTGTGGCCAGTGATGCCTATCCATGTCTTTTGCTGAGGGCTTTGGTGATCTTTCTGTTTCCAGGTCCTGGTCCTGTCTTTCTGCTTTGTTCTCTCACCCAGCCTGTACTCATTTGGGAGCAGAGATCCTCAGCCAGAGCTCAGAGGTGAGTGCCCTGGGGAAGCCCAGAGGTGGATGCCCAGAGGCTGAGGTGTGTTTCCAGGAGAAGCACTGTCCTCTGGAGCAAACCACCTTCTTCGGGGACAGCCAGAACTCCGTGGCGCCTCCAACCCAGCAGCCCCTTGCCTGGGGTGTCCACTTGGTTTGGCTTTGCTGTCTTGTGTCAGCTCTGGGCTCTTCCTCAGTCCTGTTGTGGAGGCCCATCTAGGGGCAGGGTGCTGGGCCAAGGACTGTACCAGAACTGGATGTATCCGGTCCCTCTTGGAGCACAGGCTCTGCTTGTGCCTCATGGTTGAGCAGCAGCCTCTCCCCAGGAGGAGGCAGTCCCAGTTGAACAGTTTGTTCTTCTCTCATGGGCTCTGGTGGCCTCTGCTCAGAGCAGGACCGTGAGAAGCTGCTGTGTCCCACTCAAGGTGGGAATGACAAAATTTGCTCTACCTTTTTTGCAGTGCTGTCTCGGCAGATTTGTGAATTCCCAAGCCGGGTTAAGCGGGCAACACCTGATGTGCAGGAGGAAGCTGTGCTGGAGGGGCTCAGCCCAGAGCCTGAGGACCCCTCACTGTTGGACAGCCTCAGTCAATCATGGCAAGAGGGAGAGAGTCCACTGAACCCCGATCCTAAATCTGCTTTCAACAGCAACTCATCTGCTGACTCTCCAGCAGCAGCAGGCTCTGAGCTGGGCCCTCCCCAGCCTGAGGAGCAGCGTTCCCAGAATGACCCCTTGCACACAGCACTGCCAGCAGCGTGGGAAGCCAAAAAGCAGGAGTGGGTGGAACGCACTGCCAGCGTTGTCATCCAGCAGCACCGTGCCGATGAGATGTGACAGCTGCCTCCTTCTGCCTGTTGGAGTGACACCAGGCACTCTGCAGGGCAGAGACAAGCAGAGCTGTGCTAACAGATAATCTATCAAAGCAGATACTTTTCAATACTCCTGATTGCTAGCAGCTCAGAGGGTTTACCAGGGAGGAATCATTTTAGGGATGTCCTGATTTTACACTCTTCTCTGTATGTGCATAGCAGAACCCTATCTGAGATAGGGCAGAAAATTATGGAAACTTTGCTACGGCTGCTGACATGGCCTGCAGCCTGGGGTGCATCCCGTGGCTTGGGGACAGGCTGTGGCATATCGCAGGTGAAGGCAGTTGGGCATGAGGTGTGTGTACCTGGTCTGAGTGAAAGCAAGTGGTGATGAGTGCTGCTGCCCTGTTTCTTCCCTGCCCTAGTGGAGGTGAACAGGCTGGATCTTGCGGTTCTTACCATGTCTGGTGGCCACAAGCATCTTTGTCCCTTCCCTTTAATCCTGTAATGCTGCCTGATTTCTGTGTGTGAGATGATGAGCTGATCTTCAGTGTGCTGGCAGGGAGTGGTCCTGCCATTGCAACACTCTGTGTTTCCCCTGTTCCTGCTAGCTTTTGAGCCACAGGCACAGCTTCTGGCCTGGCTAGGGAGGGTATGTGGAGTCCCTCCTGAGCTATGCATGCTGCTTCCTTTCGTAGGAGCTGAGCCTTTCATCTCCCACAGCCCTGGGAGTGGGGATTCTGGCCCATGCCTTGAACCAGACTGTCAGACCAGAGAACAACAGAGCTGTTGGCTC